CCCTTTCCAACCAGGCTCTCCTTCCTACCAGTCCACCAGGACTGGTCTCGTTGAGACCACCAATGACCTCCATGTCACCCAATCTCGCGGTCGAATCTCAGTAATCATCCGGCGTGAACTACCCGCGTGCGTGGCCTGGCCCGTCACTCACTCTCTCTTCTCGAAGCCCTTCCTCGCTAGGTTTGTTGCATGCTCATTTTCCAGGTTTTTTTCCTTTCTCTCTGGAAGGTTCTTCCCTGTCTCTGCTTCTGGTTCCTCCTCTTCTCTAACCTCTTAAAGCTTGAGTGTGGTCTGTGGACCTCTGTCCTATCTACTCTCGTGCCTTTGATGATCTCGGCAAGTCGTATGGCTCTTGGTACCGTTTGTCTATCGACAACTGCCAAAGTTCTATCTCCAGCCTTACGATCTCCCCTCTACTCCTCACTTATATGTCCTCCTGCCTGCCGCGGATCTCCACTGGGAGGGATGCCTAATAGCTGTTTCGAACTTTAAAATTGCTGGGATCTTGGAGTCATCTTTGATTTTACATTTTTCTCCTACTCTGTATCTAATTATCAGCAAACATCATTGGTTCCGTCTTCATATATATGCGGAATCCAACCATTTCTTTGTTCCTCTGCTGACACCCTGGTAACCGCATTGTCTTCCCCCTCGGCTTCCTGCTTCCGCCTGTTTTTTTCCCCCAGTCTAGCCTGACACACAGCGACCTGAGTGTTTTTGTTATCATGTAAGTCAGACCATGTCTCTACTCTATGCAAACCCTTCGGTAACTTCTGTCTAACTCAGAGTAAGGGCCAAATCCTCATCATGACCCCTCCCCAGATCCAGGATGTGACAGTGAGTTTCCTTCTCATGTCCCTGTACCAACAGGCAGATTTTTTTTCTTAGCTCACCCCAGGGACTTCAGTTCCAATTCTCTACCCGGGACAGACCAAGGCCTTCTCTCACGCCCACATGTGGTCATTAAAATATAAATTCCTCAGCCACTAAAACTTGCCACCCCTCTCACCTTCGTAGAGCAACGCTCGCATCGGTTCCTGTTTACTATGCTGATTTCCAGTTTTGTTTTTGTTTTGGCCCTGAAGTTATCTTTACTTGCTTAGGAGCATGACTATGACTTTAAAGTTATTCTTCATATTTTGTTCAGCACTTCTCAGTGCTTGGTAGCGGGAGGACATTTAGGTTATGTTGTGTGCCATGTTGCCAGAAACAGAAGACTGGTCTCTTGTCTCTGCATCTAGGTCCAGATGTCCATATGGGGCCCTCCTCTTTCTGATGATGCATCTGGGCGGTTCTCCGACTTGAAACTTTGTCTCTCTCTCAGACATGGTTCTGTACTCAACTTCTAGATCTGCAACTGACAGCAAAATGTGTTTGTGTTGTCACTTTGTTTCAGGTTCAGATTTCATGTGTGAGCCGCTAGCCTGCCTGTTAGGGTATGGTGGGCTGAGTAAGTGCTCTCTTCCCCAAGGTATTTGTGGAAACTGTGAAAATATGACCTCACATGCAAAAGGAACTTTGCAGGTGTGATGAAGGGCCTTTCGATGGGTAGATTATCCTGAATCATCTAGGTGGGCTTGATGTAATTACAAGGGCAAGGGTCCTTCTGTGAAGGATGGGCACAGGGGGCATCAGAATGGAGACAGAAGGCCATGTGATGATGGACAGAGAGGTTGAAGTGGTAAAGCATACGCATGTAGAATCACCAGGTTGTGTACTCGATACTGATATATGTCAACTATACTTTAATTTTAAAAAAGTGATAGGGAAGAAATGAAACAGGCCATGTCAAGTATTTGAAAATTAAGATTCAAAGTTGAGGTCAGAAATGTACTCGTCGCATTTATTAAAGAAAGTTAAGCAGAATTTAACCATTGGTCCTCAGAGTAAGTGGGTGGGAGGCTTTGAGAAAACATATTTGTTTTGGATTTACCCACCTAGCTGGGTGGCTGCACCATTTTTGAGACCTTATTCTATGTGAAACTTTGTGTCACACACTGTAAATACATCCCCTTACTTAATCCTTATAAATCTCTGCGGTGTATTATTTCCCTGACTCCGACAGGCTATGCAATTCATTTGGCCCAGTGAAAGATGAAAATGGGGACCCCTTGTTCAAAAAGTATTAAGAATTTCAAGAGGGCAACAGCAGGGCATTAAGCCAAGCTCAGGGCCCTTCTGAGTGTGGGGCCCTGTGCTCCAACACAGGCTGAAGGCCCCAAAGTGAGATGTTACTGTCCCCATGCTTCATAGGAGGATACTGAGACAGAGGGGTCATGTCTGCTCACGCTCAGACAGCTCTGATGCTGAGGGCCAGAAGACAGGGTCATCGTACCCCCAGTTTAGCTCAGGGTAGATGCTTACTGAGTATCTCAGGAGAGCAGGTCAAGACAATCCAGCAAGTACAAAGGAGTGCCTAGAACTTTTGCAGGTACTGTTGGGAACTCAAGGGAGCAAGCTAGAGTCTGAGAACATAAGCTGATAGTTCATGCTAGTGAATCACTGCAAACAGGAAGGAGATGCTCATCCTGGCTTTTCTGTTTCATTCCTCTGGGAGGGTAATGTGAGCCATCTAACTTGTGAAGATTTCTCATTAAACAACTATTTGCCTAATTGGAGTAAATCAAACTAAATGCTAATTAGTATCTCCCAAAGAGTAAAAATAGATTTCTAATCACTCACATTATTGCTGAGCACAGAGAGCAGCAGGGGACTGTTTGGGGAGCCTCGGTCTTAGTTAATGTTTGACCGACTTCATACAAAACCTCACATGTTAGTCGCATGGCAGTAGCTGACATGCAGCTGAGCTGCTCGAACACTGTTGATTTCCAGAGGCTGTTGTCACGAGAAATTCAGTGGCTGTAACTGTGCTTGTGGCATTCTAACAAAAAATTCCCTTCGCGATCATGTGGCTAGCATATGCTGACGAAATCCGAGTGACAGCTGAAGGCAGCAAGATGGAATGAGAAGGGCCAAAGGTATGACAAATAGTTGCACTCACTACATATTGTGTCTTGGGGAACGGCTTTGGCAGATGATGACACATTTGGACTTTTGTGTTCTCCTTCTGCAGGATTCCAGAGAGATGGTTCTGTGACAGCTGGCCCTTCCAGCTGACCTTATATCTGAGACTCCTGCCTGTGCTGGTCTAAAATTAACATGCTTCTTTTGCCTGCTAGTGACATGGGTGTCCCATCTCAGAGATCACTTAGGGCGCTCCAATGAAAGTGGCCTAAACAACGGATTAGAGTTCCATCTTCTCCTTCCAACAAGAATGGAAGGAAGGAGCAGGGTGGGGGTTCA